TGTGTAGTATATTTGTATGTAGTATATTTGTGTGTATTTGTGTGTAGTATATTTGTGTGTAGTATGTGTGTTGTGTGTAGTATATGTGTGTGTAGTATATTGTGTGTGTAGTATATTTGTGTGTAGTATGTGTGTGTAGTATATTGTGTAGTGTAGTATTTGTGTGTAGTATGTGTGTGTAGTATATTTGTGTAGTGTGTATGTAGTATATTGTGTGTAGTATTTGTGTATTTGTATTGTGTAGTATATTTGTGTGTAGTATATTTGTATGTAGTATATTTGTGTGTAGTATGTGTGTGTAGTATATTGTGTGTAGTATGTGTGTAGTATATGTAGTATGTGTAGTATATGTGTGTAGTATATTTGTGTGTAGTTATTTGTGTGTAGTATATTGTTGTATGTAGTAATATTGTGTGTGTGTAGTGTAGTTGTGTAATTTGTGTGTAGTATATTTGTGTGTAGTATATTGTGTAGTATTTGTATATATTTGTGTGTATTTGTGTGTAGTATATTTGTGTGTAGTATATTGTGTGTAGTATATTTGTGTGTAGTATGTATGTAGTATATTTGTGTATTTGTAGTAGTATTTGTGTGTAGTATATTGTAGGTGTAGTAGTGTGTAGTATATTTGTGTAGTATATTTGTGTGTAGTATATTTGTGTGTAGTATATAGTGTAGTAATATTTGTGTGTAGTATATTTTGTATGTAGTATATTTGTGTGTAGTATATTTGTATGTAGTATATTTTGTATGTGTAGTATATTGTGTATGTAGTATATTTGTGTGTAGTATATTTGTGTTGTAGTATATTTGTTGTGTATGTAGTATATTGTGTGTAGTATTGTGTGTAGTATATTTGTGTGTAAGTATATTTGTGTGTAGTATATTTGTAGTATATTTGTGTAGTATTTTGTATGTAGTATATTTGTGTTATTTGTGTGTTTATATATTTTTGTGTATTATGTAGTATATTTGTGTGTAGTATGTGTATGTAGTGTATTTTGTGTAGTATATTTGTATATTTGTATGTAGTATATTGTGTGTAGTATATTTGTGTAAGTAGTAATGTGTGTGTAGTATGTGTGTGTAGTATATTGTGTTTGTGTGTAGTAATATTTGTGTGTAGTAGTATATTGTGTGTAGTATATTTGTGTGTAGTATATGTGTGTGTAGTATATTTGTGTTGTAGTATATTGTGGTGTAGTATATTGTGTGTAGTATATTTGTTGTGTGTGTAGTATATTTGTATGTAGTATATTTGTGTAGTATATTAGTATTTGTATGTAGTATATTTGTGTGTAGTATATGTGTAGTATATTTGTATGTAGTATATTTGTATGTAGTATATTGTGTGTAGTATATGTTGTATATTTGTGTGTAGTATATTTGTGTGTAGTATAGTATGTGTGTTAGTATATGTGTGTTGTATGTAGTATATTTGTGTAGTATATTTGTGTGTAGTATATTTGTTGTAGTATGTGTAGTATATTGTGTATATTTGTGTGTAGTATATTTGTGTGTAGTATATTTGTGTAGTATGTGTAGTATATTTGTGTGTAGTATTTGTGTGTAGTATATGTGTGTGTATGTAGTATATTGTTGTATGTAGTATATATTTGTGTGTGTAGTTGTAGTGTGTAGTATATATTGTGTGTAGTATATTTGTATGTAGTAATATTTGTGTGTAGTGTGTGTGTGTAGTATATTTGTGTGTAGTATAGTATGTGTTGTGTAGTATATTTGTGTGTAAGTATAGTGTGTATGTAGTATATTTGTGTGTAGTATATTTTGTGTGTAGTATTGTGTGTGTGTAGTATATGTGTGTGTGTAGTATATGTGTGTGTGTAGTATATGTGTGTGTAGTATATTGTGTATATTTGTGTGTGTAGTAGTATATTTGTGTGTAGTATGTGTGTGTAGTATATTTGTGTGTAGTGTGTGTGTGTGTGTGTGTGTGTGTGTGTGTGTGTGTGTGTGTGTAGTAATATTTGTGTGTAGTATATTTGTGTGTAGAATATTTGTGTAGTATGTATGTAGTATATTTGTGTGTAGTATAATGTGTGTGTGTATAATTTGTGTTAGTTATGTAGTATGTAGTATATTTGTGTGTAGTATATTGTGTGTAGTAGTGTGTGTAGTATATTTGTGTGTAGTATGTGTGTGTGTAGTATATTTGTGTGTGTAGTATTTGTGTGTAGTATTTTGTATGTAGTAATATTTGGTATGTAGTATATTGTGTGTAGTAGTATGTGTATGTAGTATATTTGTATGTAGTATATGTGTAGTATATTTGTGTGTAGTATATTTGTGTGTAGTATATTTGTGTGTAGTATGTGTGTGTAGTATATTTGTATGTAGTATATTTGTGTGTAGTATATTTGTGTGTAGTATATTTGTGTGTAGTATATGTGTGTGTAGTATATTTGTGTGTGTAGTATATTTGTATGTAGTATATTTGTATGTAGTATATTTGTATGTAGTATATTTGTATGTAGTATATTTGTATGTAGTATATTTGTGTGTAGTGTGTGTGTATGTAGTATATTGTGTGTAGTATATGTGTATATTTGTGTAGTATATTTGTGTGTAGTATGTAGTATATTTGTTGTGTAGTATGTAGTATATTGTGTATATTTGTGTGTAGTATATTTGTGTGTAGTATATTTGTGTGTAGTATATTTGTATGTAGTATATTTGTATGTAGTATATTTGTGTGTAGTATATGTTGGTGTGTAGTATGTGTGTGTAGTATATTTGTGTGTAGTATATTTGTGTGTAGTATATTTGTGTGTAGTATATTTGTATGTAGTATATATTTGTTGTGTATATGTAGTATATTTGTATGTAGTATTTGTGTGTAGTATGTAGTAATATTTGTATGTAGTATATTTGTTGTGTATGTGTAGTATATTTAGTGTGTATATTTGTGTGTAGTATATTTGTATGTAGTATATATTTTGTGTATATTGTGTGTAGTATATTTGTGTGTAGTATATTTTGTATGTAGTATATTTGTATTGTGTGTAGTATATTTGTGTGTAGTATATTTGTGTGTAGTATATTTGTATGTAGTAATATTGTGTGTAGTATATTTGTATGTAGTATATGTAGTGTGTGTATATTTGTGTGTGTAGTATATTTGTGTGTATAGTGTGTGTATTTGTGTGTATATTGTGTGTGTAGTATATTTGTGTGTAGTATATTTGTGTGTGTATGTAGTATATTTGTGTGTAGTATATTTGTGTGTAGTATATTTGTATGTAGTATATTTGTTAGTATGTAGTATATTTGTAGTGTGTAGTATATTTGTGTGTAGTATATTTGTATGTAGTATATGTGTGTGTGTAGTATAATTTTGTATGTAGTATATTTGTATGTAGTATAGTTATGTATGTATATATTGTATGTAGTATATTTGTATGTAGTATATTGTAGTATGTAGTATATTTGTATGTAGTATATTTGTATGTAGTATATGTGTAGTGTATGTAGTATATTTGTGTGTAGTATATTTGTGTGTGTAGTATATTTGTATGTAGTATATATTTGTATGTAGTATTGTGTGTAGTATATTTGTGTGTAGTAATATTTGTATGTAGTATATTTGTATGTAGTATATTTGATGTAGTATATTTGTGTGTAGTATATTGTGTGTGTGTATGTGTAGTATATTTGTGTGTATGTAGTATATGTTAGTATAGTATATTTGTGTGTAGTATATTTGTGTGTAGTATATTTGTGTGTAGTATATTTGTATGTATGTAGTATATTTGTATGTAGTATATTGTGTATATTTGTATGTAGTATATTTGTGTGTAGTATATTTGTGTGTAGTATATTTGTATGTAGTATATGTGTGTGTGTAGTATATTTGTGTGTAGTATATGTTTGTTGTATGTAGTATAGTGTGTATATGTAGTATATTTTGTATGTAGTACTAGTATATTTGTTTGTATGTAGTATATTTGTGTGTAGTATATTTGTGTGTAGTATATTTGTATGTAGTACATTTGTATGTAGTACATATTTGTATGTGTAGTATATGTTTGTTGTAGTATTGTGTGTAGTATATTGTATGTAGTATATTGTAGTATTTGTGTGTAGTATATTTGTGTGTAGTATATTTGTGTGTAGTATATGTTGTATTTGTAGTACATTTGTATGTAGTATATTTGTATGTAGTAGTATTTGTGTGTAGTATGTGTGTGTAGTATTATGTGTATGTAGTATATTTGTATGTAGTACATTTGTATGTAGTATATTTGTATGTAGTATATTGTGTGTGTTTGTGTGTGTAGTATATATGTGTATGTGTAGTATATGTGTATGTGTATGTAGTATATTTGTATGTAGTATATTTGTATGTAGTATATTTGTGTGTAGTATAGTTGTATGTAGTATATTTGTATGTAGTATATTTGTATGTAGTATGTGTGTGTAGTATATTTGTGTGTAGTATATTTGTGTGCAGTATATTTGTATGTAGTATATTTGTATGTAGTATATGTGTATGTAGTATATTTGTGTGTAGTATATTGTGTGTGTAGTATATTTGTATGTAGTATATTTGTATGTAGTATATTTGTGTGTAGTATATTTGTGTGTAGTATATGTGTGTAGTATATTTGTATGTAGTATATTTGTATGTAGTATATTTGTGTGTAGTATATTTGTGTGTAGTATATTTGTATGTAGTATATTTGTATGTAGTATATTTGTATGTAGTATATTTGTGTGTAGTATGTGTGTGTAGTATATTTGTATGTAGTATATTTGTATGTAGTATATTTGTGTGTAGTATGTGTGTGTAGTATATTTGTGTGTAGTATGTGTGTGTAGTATATTTGTATGTAGTATATTTGTGTGTAGTATATTTGTGTGTAGTATATTTGTGTGTAGTATATTTGTGTGTAGTATATTTGTATGTAGTATATTTGTATGTAGTATATTTGTATGTAGTATATTTGTATGTAGTACATTTGTGTGTATAATAGTTTTACCCAGGGAGGCGGGCCCGTCCCTGCCTGGTTGTCCCATCCGTCCTTTCTCTTTCTTTCCAAACAGGCGCCCGATGGACGACTTGATGCTCTTCTTCTTCTTGTGCAGTGAGTCCTGGCTGCTGTTGGTGCTGTTGGTGCAGCTGCCGTCCACCGAGAGACTGAGGACAGGAGAAAGTGACACAGTGAAGCTTTAAATGTAATGTCAAAAAATATGAAGAACGTTCTGAACAAACATCTGCACGTCCTGAAGCACAAACTGAGATCTGATGTTTCTGTGATCGTTGTAAAATGTGCACGGCATTTTATTCACGTGAAGAAACTCTCTCCTTCTACACGACGAATATGAACCGTTTACTTACCATATTTTCAGACTATAAGTGTCACTTTTTTTCATGGTTTGTATGTTTCCTGTGAAGACTGAACACAAATGCCCCCGAAAACAAAAGATTCTGCAGATTGCAAACTGCAAGTCGTGAAATCTCCAGCTGAAAACGGAAATCGAGCAGCAGAAAGAAAGTTTGGAGACACCGGGAGGATGTCATGGTTCATGTTTTGTAGTGGTTGTAGTTTGTGTTTTATTTTGACATTTGTCCTGTCACCTTGTATTTTTGATTGTTACTTCCTGTCTTGATTGTTTGCTCCGCCCTAATGTGTTTCACCTGTGTCTATGTGTGTGCATTTATACGCTGTGTTCTCCTCTGCCCTTTGTTGGTCCATTGTCTCTGTCCGAGTGTCTCTGTGCCTCTTGTCATGGCAATTTAGTCTCGAGTTTTGGATTTTTTGGTTTTGTCATTAAATATTTTTTGAAGCAGTCCTGCGTTTTGGGTCCTCCCTCTGTTTCCACGTGACAGAGGATGCACCATGAAACTTTCCTGAAGTCACTGGATGGATGGACAAAGCCTGGACTTCAGTGACACCGAAACCATCCTGTCGGGATTCAGAAAGACCTGAATAATTCTAACTGGAACTGATGCTGAGACCCATTTTACACTAAAACAAATCAGCGTATCATTGTATCATCGTATCAAAAATGATCTGCGTCCACAAAAGTCATTTCTGAGTACATAATCAAAGAGTTCCCTGTCCACACAGAAACGCAAAACCTCCTGAAACACTCATCACGTGACCAGCAGGTGTCACGACGTCACGTGAACGGTAAAAACAAGGAAATTGAAGCTGAAGTTGCAGCAGCTGATTTTGAGCCGAGGGAGATGGTGAGTGTAAAAACAGTCTTTTCGTGGACCGACGATGAGATTCAGTTGTTACTTAGCGCAACACTGGATTTTAAGACGAGCAGGCGGCTCAGAGTGACGACTGACTCGATTCTGTGTCCACAAGTCTTCTCTGTCCACACAGATTTGAGCACATTTGTCTACGTTTTACAGAAACTAAACTTAAAACCACATGACTCATTTGCATAAATTAAGTGCTAAAAAAAACCCCCAAAAAACAGTTCTTTCCTTGTGTCTGATGTGGTTCAGTTTCTGTCGGACTAAAGGACACAGAGACTCAGTGGAATATGAGTGTTCTCTCTGTGACAGAGGGGTGTTCTCTCTGTGACAGACGGTTGTTCTGCTGATGCTGAGTCTGTTCTGTGTTTCTGTCGTGTTGTTGGTTCATGTGAAACTTTTCAGAGATTATACGTGTGCAGGTCGTACACACAGACACACGTTTATATGAATGGACAGATATTGTGTCTCTTAGTGTTTTGTGGGTGAGTGAGTTGGCGGTGACAGATCTACATCAGAGTATCAGAGTTTTCAGGAGTCCCCGTCACATCTGGACCAACATGAACTCGTGGAGCTGGAGGCACCAGATCGTTCCGTCTCTGGAGCCGTTTTCAGTCGGATTAGTGTGAACGAACACTGCACACACAACCAACACCACTCACATACACACTAGTGTGTCTGTTTACCTCTGGAGGTCGAGGCCGAGTTGCTCAGAAGTGACACAGAGGATGAAGAACTGAATGGACTTAGTGATTTGGAGTGAGATGGAGAGTTTGGTTAAACTTGCTGAAGAATTGTGGGTAACACTTTATAATAACTACACCTCATTTAGCCTTAATAAAGCATGAACAAAGGCTTAATTAATAATGAACAAAGACTTAATTAATAATGATTCACACTTAGTAACTACATAATTACTACTCATTAGTAAACTATGAGAGAATGATTTACTAATAATGCAATGATATTTCAGGCAGCTGTTTTCTGTTAAGTCTTTTTGAGAGCTTTTCTAAAGTGAAGACGAATTATGCTTTATTAAGCATTTACTAAGCGTGAATCATTATTAATTAAGTCTTTGTTCATGCTTTATTACGGCTAAGTAATGTGTAGTTATTATAAAGTGTTACCGAACTGTGAAATATGTGACGTTAACAGTCTGTTGTTCTCTTCTATAATTTTTACTACAACTTGACTTTACACAGGAAATGTCTGATCCTGATCTCTCATTTTATTAAATAAAATTTCCCCAAAAAGTGCGAATTATATATGTT